TATATAGTATATATATTATATATATGTGTGTGTGTGTGTGTGAATTAAATACTTCTACTTTATTTTAGCTTTATTTCAATTAGGCTTCAATTCAATTAACACATTTTAGTTGCAGTTTTACACTTTCAGCTTGATGTTTCAAACTTGCTTATAATGGTTGATGTGAGTGAAAACATATGGTTTGTTTATTTTGCCTTTGAATGCACATCAGAACAATTACAGTAAGCACTAAACAATAAAGTGGACATATTACATTAGCCAAGGGCATAACACTCCATCACTTCAGAACATACAGCACTTTTAAGTCAAATCAACAGGTGCTCTAGACCAGTGGTTTTCCATTTCAGAATGGGAGGTTTGTCAAACCCGAGAAAGCAGGATAAGTCAAGCCCGTTTCTAAAAGAGAGGTAACTTATACTCAGAGTCTGTTACCATGGTTACTTACACTGTGAACCTAGCCTGGGGTGCGTTTCCCAAAAGCATCGTTAGCTAACTTTGGTTGTTAGTTTCATTGAACTCTATTGGTAACGACGGAACTTGTGACGATAGTTTCTTTTAGGAGTCTCTTTCTGGTCAGAAGCAGGTTTTCTTTGTTAAACCCAGAATTTCTTTCGGTCTCCTCCCTGTTTTTAAAGCGTAAGCGATGTTTAAATACCTAATTTATTCACGCTGCAAAAAATGCCTTTCTTAGTGAGTATTTTGGAATCTAAATTAAGTGCATTTTACTTAAAACAAGAAAAATAATATTAATTCAAATGGAAACAATATTATTTTTCTTAACCCACTGGCAGATCATTTGCAAAATAAGAAAAATACACTTAAAAGACTAAAAACCTTATGTAATTTTTCTTATGTAGAAAAATCATCTTGATTTAAGAATCTTTAGATATTTTGACTGGAAAGAACAAGACAAAAATACTAAGTAAGAAAAGCATTTTTTTGCAGTGCGGGTAAATTCATTCATTGCACATATTTTGTGAAAGTGACAAAAAAAGCATGTCCTTTTATACAGGATCCTGTAGATGAGAAGGCCGCATTAATTCATAGGGAGTTACATTTACATCAGTAAAGGATTATTTTGACTTTGATTTTTTTGTTTTTTTTTGCCATATCCACATGCATATTTATTTGAGCGGTACCATTTTTAAATGATAGTTTTCTATATAACATCAGGGATTCTTTTCTGAGCACAAACCCATGGAAAATGAAGCTGATTACTGTATGGAATGAAAGGATGCCAGATGGAAGGGTAGTTTGTGATATATGACGTAACCACCACCACAGCTGTTACATTTATTTGGTCATCTTTATTTCCCACAAATACAAAAGCAACAGTTATTATTTTTCCTGTTGGATTTTATTCTTCCATTATTTGGTATTGTGGCCATCTACTCTTCATCTGTTCTTCATTATTTTGCAAGCCTTCTTACTGTTGGCTGAGTAGAAGTCAAATGTTAATTTCATTACTCTAATTAAGAAATGTAGCAGGTTGGATTAGAGAATAATTAATTATATGAAAAGAGCATTAGACTAATTGGAAAAAGCAGCTGCGCAATGAAATAGACACTGAATGATATTTATTTAATATGTCAAATGTTTGTAAAGTCATGTAGCCTATGAACCTTTTATGCTTAAAGCTTTACCTTGATTGAATTACGTTTTTACACTTCATGTTTAACTGCTTTGCTGTTTTTTTCTTTTGCCTGTGGATACCATGAAAATTAATATCTGTTCAATAATTTACAGTTCTGCCACTTTTTACCTTTGATATTATAACAGTGATTAAGAAATAAAGTTATGTATTGAGTATGCGGATGTCTTTTTGCCGGGTGCTGTTGCCATGGTGAATCATAATTTCTGAGCTCCATTGATCATGGCTTTTCATAGTCGTGATGCACGCGCTAAACTCAGAGTCAACCTACTCAGAGTCGACTGAACTAACTCAATTCAGCTGAACCCGAAAACTTTTTCGAGTTTCCCCATCTCAGGGTAAGTCAACTCAGAGTTGGTTGAACCTCCTTATTGAAACAGGCCCCTGAAATGTCTGAGTGTGTCAGATAAGAGAGACATACAAAATGTGCAGAGCGGCGGGTCCCCAGGACCAGGATTGAAAACCACTCTTCATTCTCACGTGTTTTAAGTCTTGTCAGTTTAAACATTAAAGTACTTTTAAGCCATTTAAGCCCAAGACATCTCAATCAAAAAGAGCAAAAGAAAAATTTTCGCTGCTTTAATAGCTATAATGGATATTTGCTTTGTGAATAAAGTCATTCGGTGTGACTACAGTAATGGGGGGGGGGCGCGAGTGAAATTAGACAAACTTGGGGGGGCGCATGTCCTAAAAGGTTGAAAACCGCTGCTCTAGACAATCAGATGAAATCTCCTGGGAAACTAGATAAGATAACTAGAGACTATAAGGAAAATGACTGCAAAGCAATTATTATTTACATCTTTGGAGATAAGCAATAAATAAACAATTCCAGACTTGTATCTCAGGAGTCTACTGTGAGCATATACAGTACACACACACACGCGCACGCGTTGACTTGTAGGACTTGTTTCATAACCTCTGACTTGCTATGAAACAAACCTCATCAATGAGCTCCAGCACTTGACAGCCTCACATTTGATGCTGGGACACCAAGAGTTCATTTCACAGGACTGACACTTCCACTACAGTATCTCCGCCTGACAGACCAGTCACAGAGCCTTACTTTGAGTTGAGCAGTTGCATGTGGTATATTTATGACCATCTTGCACAATGTAGTCACATTTATTGTGATAAGATACACATACACAAAAAAAGTCAATCTAAAACAAAGCAAACTCACTGTAAAAACAAAATGTATTCACTTAAATTAAGCTGTCTGTAATGTTATTTTTTAAACGAATTTGAAATAAGTAAAAAAATATTTTATATAGATAAAAAACAAAAATAAATATAAAATTAAAAATCAAAATCAAAAATAAATAAGGGCAAAGGGCACAAAAGTAGCAAAAAACTGCCAAGAAACTGTCATACAAAGCTGAAAATACACTCATGGGAAACAACCACTGAGAAAAGCTTGAAAACAACACACATACATGTCCATTACAGGCCTTGTATGAAGTGTCTCACCATGAGCCTTTAAAATCAGAAAATAACAGAGTAAAAATTACTAACAGTTGGTTATTCTATATACAATACACACTGACAGACTTCAATATACACAAATTAATTA